CCATCCATTTCAACAACTAAGAAATAGTGCAAAGAGTTGGGACTTCAGAAGGCTTTTAGGGCCAATTAGTAGGCTCTGTGTCCAGGAGAAAACGAATATACTTACCAGTAATGTTAATGCTCACCCACGGCTCTTCTGGGAGGATCTAAATCGTTGAAGCGTCCTCCTTTGTTTCCAGATGGGAGCTGGGGCCTGTCAGTCCTGCCTGCCACGAGGACCTGATGTGAGCCACCTTGGTCAAGTGTCCTTCAGAGCCACACTTAAAGCAAGTGAGTGGGAGCTTCCTCTCTACTCCCTTGCCTATCTGTGGCTCTCGTCTGTGACACTGTCTACTGAAGTGGCCCAGCTTTCCACAGTGGAAGCAATTCTGACCTCCTTTATTACCTTTGGGTGGCACTGTATATGAGTAAGACTTCCTTTTCCTGACACAGGCCCTAAACTGGCAGCAATAGCTGCCCCAGTAATTTTGTCCATTCTCTGGTCTTTTCTCTTCCCTCTAGATCCCAGTTGTTAAAAGAGGGAAAAATTTAAGCAAATGTATAACAAATAATTTTGAACATTATAATCTTTTAAGCTTAAGACTAGTAGTAGTAACAATATCATCATTTCAAATCCAGGTGTCCCACTCTTGCTCACTCAGAGTTAGCTATGTCAGACTTTTAATTGTTCTTATAGCAAACAAGTTCTACTTTATTTTATGTCTTTTGTTCTTTTACTATTGCTTCCCAAGGACTGGCATGCTTCTTTTAGATTTCTCATGGTCCAAACTCCTTGTTTTACCCAAAACTCTGATTAAATAGCTCCTTTTCAGGGGCCCCTTCCTTCACTGTTCTATCTAAAAAATAATAGACAGACTCTCTTCCTATCACTAAATTGGATTCATTTATTTCTTCATAGTATTTGTCACCATCATATATTATACTGTTTCATTATTTTTCTACTTCATTGGAATATAGCTCATATTAGTAAATGTTTTTTCCTATAGCTAAAAAGAAGTAGAGTACATGACTTCTAACAGATACTTGCTGAAGGAAATGAAAATAGATTTCAAGAATTTAATATAGAAAGAGATAAAAAATGAGAAATGTCTGTTCCTTGTGATAAGTGTTAGAATTGGAGGAAGACTCATCAATAACCTTTGTTATGCAGATAACACAATCTTGCTTGCTGAAAGTAAGGAGGACTTCAAGCACTAGCTGCAGAAAGTTAAACATTATCCTTAATATGAATTGTGTCAATGTCAAGAAAACAAAAATCCTAGGCCTGGATCAATAGGTGGAGAAAGATTTAAGATTTTCACAGACTTCATCTTACTTGGATTCACAATCAACTTGGTGCCAGCAGTCAGGAGATTAGGAGACACATTGTACTGGGAAAGTTTGGAGTCAAGGATCTCTCCAAATTATTGAAGAGCAATGCTATCACTTTGAAGACTAAAGTGGACCCTGATCCAGGTCATGATCTTTTCTGTCACTTGTTATGCATCTGAGAACTTAAGATTGACTGGACAGAAGGAGAACTAATGCCTTTGATCTGTGTGTTCAAGAAGAAATGAGTATCTTAAGGACAGCCAAAAGAATAAATAAACATGTCTTGGAGAATGTGCACCCAGAATGCTCTTTGGAGGCAAGAAAGATGACCTTTCATCTCATATACTTGAAGCACGCTGCTAGGAGAAGTTATTCCTTGGAAAGGAAGGGGCGTCATACTTGGGAAGATGGAGGGATAATAAAGGAAAAGAAGACTTTCAACCAGGTGGATTGACATAGTGATTGGAGCTGTAGGCTTGATGGTGTTGTCAATTGTGTGGATGGCACAGAACAGGACAGAAATCAGATCTGCTGGTCATAGGGCCGCTATGGGTCATACTTGACAGTACCTAATAACAACCACCACCATCAAATATGGAGGTTTCTCAGACCAGACCCATTACTTCTTCCAAATATGTCATGCCTACACACATTTTCATGTTTCTTGTTTCTGTGTTATGCATATTACAATATGTCACACCTTGCCTCTCAGCTTATCCGCAGACTTTTCTTTTTTAAAGCAGCTCTCAGGTGATGTCCTTGACAGAGTTTGTACTGGAAGCTGGACTTAGGTCAACTTTTTCTTTTGGCTTCTATTGTCCTTATAAATGGGAGCTAAGGACTTTCAGATATAGCACATACTATAGATTTTGGCTGTCTTGGGTTGTTACAAGAGTCTTAGTCTTATGTACTAACTAGTGAAACTTCAACTCAAAGTCTGAAATCATTCCTTATTTATTCTTTTGTATTCCTTATTGTGCTTAACCTTGTTCTGGATACATGACTTAATAAATATCTGATGATGGATTGGGTAATAAAAACTAGGTAAGAAAAGCAAAATACTGATCTAGTTTCATAAAGATTAAAGAAAAGTACAAACATAAACACACACTGAGACACCCCAATGGGATCTAATTTTATATCTGATAAAAAGACATAATGGTAAATACTGAAATTATTATCACTGTAATAGAGAAGTCAATAGAAGCTTAGTAAATTCTCACCAAGCTCATGTAACATGTGAGGGTGAAGAGCATTGGAAGACTGTTTTCTTATTTGTCCATGATGCAATCTCGGCTCCCTGGAAAGTCCCTGACTTGCCCTTGAACATGTTCTCATTGTCACTCCAGACAGAATGATATCAATGGCTATAGCAGTCTCCGTGCCCTGCTAGGAACTCCATTATTGTAAACAATCATGTGCCCTGTAGAATTAGAATCACTTTCTGTTTCAGAAGCTGGATGACTTTGAATGAAGTTCTTTCCACTATTTGAGGGTTGGGACACACAGGAATGAGGAAGGAGAATGAACAGCAATTATGGTTTTCATTAAAGGAATGAAGAAAGAGCTGGAACTGTATGACCCTCCCAGAGGGACTGTGTTTCTTCTGCAATGGTGGATAACAATTGACACGCAAGATTTTCCAAATGTGAAGACTTAGTTATTATAATTGCTCCTCCCCATACCCCCTTACTAAGCTTAGAGGTAGAGGGAAAATATGGATTGCATTTTTTATGAAGAAATATCTATTTCAAACAAACAAATGAAACAAAACTGCCTCCATGTTGCTAGTAATATACTGTGAGAAGAAAGGCAAGTGACATTATTCGTTATAAGAAGAAAAATGCACAATTTCCTATTCATATCTACATCCTCATGGCACAACTCCTTTCTACAGCACACAGTCTTTTGTCCCGTGTCAGGTGTAGGGAGGATCTTTTTATACATTGTTGGGTTCTGATCAAACAGAAATAAACCACAATCAGCAAAAGGATGATAAAATGACTATCATCAGTTGTGGTTTCTAAAACTCACTTTTAAAAAAAAACTCAAATAATTTTCTTTCCTTTTAAAGATCTTTAGAATGATAGCACCTGATCTGAAAGAAAATTGGTGTATTTTGAATTTTCTCCCATTAAGTCTCGAATTTACTACTGCCTTCAGCATCATATATTTATATGAGAAACTTCAAGACAAAAGGCAGAGTGTTCCTGCCAAAATTCCTCTCTACACAGAGCCAGTAACTGTACTGAAAGGTGAGCAATGGTCCCTACAGCTGTTGTTTAAGGCGGCCGTCCTTGCAACATGCCTAAATATCGAAATGAGCTTGGAGATGTGGGTTCTATAAAGAAAAGAGGTTGAGATGACCATAAATGTAGAATAATATAGTCTCCATGTCCTAGTGTCTGCTGCAGGGGAAACTACTTTTGGAATTGAAGTTCACGTTCCCTTGCAATTACTTGGCCAGTGCATCCAGGCATAAATTTCTCTTCATGCACCATGTGTGTCCCAAACTATTCCATTACTCAGTGTGATTAAGAAACAAGTGAAATTACAGGAAAACCCATGTTCTCAGAAACCTTAGCTAAATGTATACATTCTATGCAGCTTGATATTTTTCTAAAGTTTTCCACCAGGTGTTTGTGGATCATAAGTATGCATGGCGAGTTTACCAGTATTAACATGCATAAAACACAAAGGATTCTTTGTTTTGCCTTTGTGGATTCTGCACTTGATTAGCTGCCCACCACTTATCCGTGCCTAAGGCGCAGTGAATTATCAGCATCCATCCAAATGACTCAACTAACAACAGGCATCAAGCTGGGCACTGGGAGATGACTCAGAGGTGAAGCTCAAGATCAGTCAAGAAAGCTGCGATTCAAGCATGTGCTGGCTAAATCAGCGCAGGGAAATTCGGGTGCTGAGCTACCAAGGTTTATGGCAGGAATCTTTCAACTTGCTATGTGTTTAAAGCCTTTTTTAGTAAAATGTTAAGGGGAAACCCTCCTCATAAACCAACCCCACCCTACAGAAAAATATTTCAAGCGAAGGAAGACAACATCTGCTGCCTTTGCTGTTCCCTCTCACAGAAGTGGAGTGAGCAGGCCAGTTTCCACTCTGTTGGTGAAGGCTGGGTTTTGGTATCCCCTCATTTTGTGTGATTAGCAGCCTTTCTCTTTCATTTTATTTAGTTAATAGCTGCCAGATCCTGCTGTGTTGCACAGTTAAAACGCAAGTCTATCACCAGCTATTTATAAATCCTCTCCATTTAGTTGTGCCCCAGGTATGATTATGAATTTGATAGCAGGGCTACAATAAAATGCATATAAAGCTGCACATTCCTCCCTTGGTGAGCTATCTTCTTCTCAGCTCTATAGCAGAGTAGTTAACATGCTGTCTCTGGAGTCAGATTTCCTGGTTTATTAGAATTTCACCTCAGTAGGACTTCAGGAAAATTATTTAACCTCTTCTGGCCTTATCCTAAAGTGAGAAAACTCTAATTTGACTGTTTTTCAAAGCAAAAGAAAACACTCTCCAAAAAGTCTTGATTTTGATTTATAGTGAGTGACCCTATCTCGAATAATGAGGCCTTGGACAAAATATCTGTTACTCCTCTAAACCCTTCAAGTCATCAGAAATAAAGGCAAATTAGTGTCACTACAAGAGTTCAGAATGGAAGCTGCACTGCTGTGATTCCGTCCTGCGTGGCTGTTCTGTGCAACAGTGCTGATTTATTGCCGTCCTCTCTCACTTAAACGTGAGCCACCAACCAATGGAAGATTCGATGGATATGGACATGAGCCCCCTGCGGCCTCAAAATTACCTTTTCGGTTGTGAACTGAAAGTTGACAAAGATTATCACTTTAAGGTGGATAATGATGAGAATGAGCACCAGTTATCTTTAAGAACGGTCAGTTTAGGGGCTGGTGCAAAGGATGAATTGCACATTGTTGAAGCAGAAGCAATGAATTATGAGGGCAGCCCAATTAAAGTAACACTGGCAACTTTGAAAATGTCTGTACAGCCAACGGTTTCGCTTGGGGGCTTTGAAATAACACCACCTGTCGTCTTACGATTGAAGTGTGGCTCAGGGCCTGTGCATATAAGTGGACAACACTTAGTAGCTGTGGAGGAAGATGCAGAGTCTGATGATGAAGAGGAGGAGGATGTGAAACTCTTAAGTGTATCAGGAAAGAGATCTGCCCCTGCAGGTGGTAACAAAATTCCACAGAAAAAGGTGAAACTTGCCACTGATGAAGAGGATGACGATGATGATGATGACGATGATGAAGATGAAGATGATGATGATGACGAGTTTGATGATGATGAGGCTGAAGAAAAAGCACCAGTGAAGAAATCTATAAGGGATACTCCAGCCAAAAATGCACAAAAATCAAACCAGAATGGAAAAGACTCAAAACCGTCCAACTCCACGATCAAAAGGACAAGAATCTTTCAAAAAACAGGAAAAAACTCCCAAAACTCCAAAAGGACCTAGTTCTGTAGAAGACATTAAAGCAAAAATGCAAGCAAGTATAGAAAAAGGTGGTTCTCTTCCCAAAGTGGAAGCCAAATTCATCAATTATGTGAAGAATTGCTTCCGGATGACAGACCAGGAGGCTATTCAAGATCTCTGGCAGTGGAGGAAGTCTCTTTAAGAAAATAATTTGTTAAAACAGTTTGTTAAAATTTTCCGTCTTATTTCTGTAACAGTTGATATCGGACTGTCCTTTTTTATAATGCTGAATGAGAACTTTCCCTACCTTGTCTAATAAATGTTGTCCAGGTTTCTTTGCCAAGAAAAAAAAAAAAAGAATGGAAGCTGCATAGTGGAGTGAACTGGGCTGAGGGTGGGGATTGTATAACAATGAAAGGTTTTTGTTTTTTGGGTTTTTTTTTTACTTTTCAAAGAGAAAAGTAAACTGGGGGGAGGGGGAGCAGGGAGGAAAGTGTGCAACAATGAATGAATCGAAATCCAAAGTCTCTGTAAACGTTCATGAAAATTAAAAAAGAAAGAAAGAAAGGCAAGTCTGAGGTGATCAGTTAGAAGAGTGGGATCATATTCGTCAGGTTCACAGAGAATAAAGGGAACATGGGACAGAGGTCCAAGGAAGAAGTAGGAGAACAGAACCTTCTCTCTCACTTCATTTCAGCGTTCTCTCTCTCTCTCTCTGTTATCCAAATCTATTTCCTTGTTGTAGCAAGTGGACATCCTCCTACCAGTGACCCTCAGGTGGCTTTCAGAGGTCCCATCCTATCCTGCCTTTATGAAGCAGCCATATTTGTTTAGGGTACACCCTCAGTGTACTGCTCATGTCTCTGTTTCACAGGTAACGACTTCCTTTATAAGCATTTTCTTTTCTCAAAGTGGTCCCCTCACCCTTTACTTCTCTTAGTCTTTCCATAACTGGGGCCTGAACTTCGTATACAGTATTCATCATCTATAAAATCTCTTTGGTTGTAAATTGAAAAATTTAGTGCAATCTCTTCTTACTTGATAAATGATCAGTTTACAAATATTTGGATGAGTGGCATTAGACTCAAGTTACCAAAAATCATACTTTTTCTTCAAACTATCACAATTTGAAGTCAATTACAAGTTAAACTGATGGGCACCATTTTAAAAATACAACTGATATAATGGCTACATGGTTCTTTTGTGATCCATATGCGGGTTAGTGAAAAAATTAAAAATAAAACCTCAAGTGATAAGTGATATTGTTAAAATTGCTGATAGTAGGTAAAGCCAAAGAGACAAGTAAGTCTTGACTGAGAAAAGTGGACAGTTGGACCATAGAGGAAGAGTAGTGACAGAAGGGCCTCGTAGGTACTCTCAGCTGAAAACAATGGGTTCTCTTTCTTTAAAAGATCTCAGCTGTGCTGCATGTCTCAGAAATACATTCAACCACTATCAACTATACATTCAAATACTATCAAATTACCAGTAAAGAAGAAAGGAGTGCTGGTGGCTTAGTGGTAAGAAGCTGTGCTGCAATCCCAAAGGCATGAAGGCACAGGGCATGTGGCCCAGGCCATCAGCTGCTCTGTGGGAGAACAATGGGCAATCTCCTCCCGCATAGAGGGTCAGTGAGAAAGAGGCCGGCCTTCAGTAAGATGGCCTGACCCAGAGGCTCCAACAATGAGCTCAATGAGCTCAGAAAAAGCACCAGCTGTGAGGAAGGTGCAGGGCCAGACTGTGCTAATTCTGTTGTACCTAGTGTAGCTGTGCATTGAAACTAAGCTAACAACTAGGATAAAAACTCAAAACCTCAGTCATTGTTGTCAACTCAGAACTGACTCTTAGCTGATCAGAAGCTCTAAATCATGAGAGGAGACTGCCCATCTTTCTCCCGCAGAGCGGCTGGTGGATTCGAACCACCACACTGGCATAACCTTTGGGTTATCAGCACAATCCTCTATGGATTATGCCACCAGAGGTCCCAATAAGGATAAGACCCAAATGATAAAAAGAAATCTCATGCATTTTCAGATGGATATTTTCAAAGATAAAACTGTAGTCATTTTCACAAATGATGTCCCCATATAAACCAGAAACTACCTCTTTGTGTCTAAAATGTGGGTCCAAATGCCACAGGTAACACATAAGAGCCCTGGTCATAGAGCAGCTGCCGAATCAGGCACTGTTCTCCACCCAAGAGAGCTGCACAGAGAAATCGGAATTCCTAAACAAAATCATAATGAGCCATTGTATATACAGTGTTAAAGTTACTTAATAGCTATTTTATCATTTCTGAAAATCAAACTTTATAGCTATGGTAATTAGTAACATTAATTTTATAACTTCCCTGGAACTACAAAACAACCACTCCTCAGCCAAAACTTGTAGGTGAGATTCAACCCTTTCCCTCAAGCAGATAAACCCCAAATTTGCTACCCTAATCCCAACACAATAGTGGAAGATGCCAACTCAATCCAAGGCTGCAGCCATTCACTGATGTTCACTGCAGCTATGTGGGCCACCTACTCAGAGCAACGGTAGGCCCATTGGAATGAAAATGCTGTCCGGCTCTGCTCTATTCCCATGCAATCGTTGTGATCTCTAGGGCTATCATTGGCTGGTTTTCAAGAAGTAGGTTGCAGGCCTAGCTTCCTAGTCCTTCTTTGACTGTAAGCCCCCTCAGAAACAAATGCAGAATCCTAACAAAGTGTGACCGACCTTTCCTGACAGCTGTCGTAGCCGTGTGTTGGTCAAGAACTGAATGTGGGTCCCTGGTGTGGAATCTGAGAGTTCCACCACTGATCCATCACCAACCTCAAGCATTTCACCAGCATCCAAACTCTAGATGATTAATTGAATTCTGCCAACACTGGAAGGTGAATATTGGCCTAGAAAATAGTTTTTTTTGCTATTTACTATATTTTCTATAAAATGAACAAATTCAATGCGTTGACTCTCTCCACTCCTCCTGACAGTTGCAGTTTGGGTTGTTGTTGTTATTGTTTTTTTTTTCTTTTTCTTTTTTTTCCTATAATTATATTTTATTAATTTTCATAAACATTTACAGAGATTTTGGGCTTCCACTCATTCATTGCTGCACCACTCTCTCCACCCTCCTCCCAGTTTGTTCTTGTCCAAATGCCATAGTGCTTTTCAAAGCCAGTTCTGATTAATCTTCTTTGTCAGTGTGTCCTTTGCCATTCCCTATCACTCCTCCCTGAGAGAGACTTCACCCTGAGTCATAAGGAAAAGGGGATGGTGTATTCTCTTAGCTACTTCCTGCTGAAAAGGGACGCTGTGGGTTTCAGGGTGAAGATCTTCTCTCACTACTCTAAAGGGCCCCTTTGGCAGTAGGAAACACATAGACTATTATGGAGATTGATTTTGGAATTCAGATGCACTCTTATTGATTGTGCTTGGCTGTACATGTACATATCCTTCAAGATATATCATGGGGGTGTTGCAACCTAGAAGACACGAATTTGACTAACAAGTTATAGGTACATGAGTCCAAAAATTATGGAAAAGTAAAAGAAAAGATTCTTTCATTGTTTTACAAACACTCCCCTAGGTCCCCTCCACCATGCAGCCCTCGCTCTAGTCTCCTGTGATGACAGAGATACCCAGTTACATCTCTCTTTTAGATGGTTCTCTCCCTCCTCTGTTTCAGTGCAGTATACATTATTGAACCCATCTTACTCAGTCTCTCCCCAACCCCAAGGACAGTCCCATTCTACAACAGTGGCATCATGTAATATTTGTCCTTTTGTGACTGGGTGTTGTTGTTATTGTTATGTGCCGTCGAGTCGCTTGCGACTCATAGCGACCCTATATACAACAGCTCTAAACTCTTCTCTGTCCTGTGCCAATCTCATTGTCTCTGACACACTCATACAGATTGCCCCAGTCACTGAATCGATCCACCTCCCAGAGGGCCTTCCCCTCCTGCACCTGCCCTCCACCCTCCCAAGCATGATATCCTTCTCCAAGGACCAGTCTCTCCTTACAACATGCCCAAATTATGTCAAACGAAGCCTCAGAATCCTTGCCTCCAAGGAGCAGCCCGGTTTAACCCTCTCCAGGATGAATCTTTTTGTTTTCTTGGCATTCCATGGTACCCTCAACACTCTTCTCCAATACCAAAGCTCAAAAGCATCAATTCTCCTTCTATCGTCCCTGGTAATTGTCCAGCTCTCTGACGCATAACAAGTGATTGCAAAAACGATGGCCTGTACCAGATGCACCTTAGTCTCCAGAGAGACACCATTGCTCTTCAGTACTTTAGAGAGGTCCCTAACAGCATACTTTGCATCGCAATACATCTTTTAATTTCCTGGCTGCTGGTGCCAAGAGTGTTGATTGTGGAGCCAAGCAAACTAAAGCTGTGTACAGTCTCAATCTCTTCACCATCCATCCTGATGCTGCCAATTGGTCCAGTGGTGAGAATCTTTGTCTTCTTGACATTGAACCTCAATCCATATTGGAGGCTGCAGTCCTTGACCTTCAGCAGCAAGGGCTTCAGGTCCTCCTCAGTTTCAGCAAGCAGCGTTGTGTCATCTGCACAACAGAGATTGTTGATAGATTTTCCACCAATCCTGATGCCTGCCGCATTTCTCCTCATAGAGCCACATTATAGATTTTCTTACCTTTTACATAAGATCCACAAATAAAATGCTTAACCTTCCTCATTAAAAATGAAAAAAGTAAATGGAAGACTTGGACATCAAGAAATTTCTTTAAAGTGTCTCAGATAGAGGTCAGTTGAGTTCATGATGAGATTAAACTCAAGCTCATTGCCATCAAAGCAAAACTGGCACATAGCTGAGCCTCCACTGGATTTCTGGGGCTGCAAACCACACAGCTAAAGATCAACCATACTTCTCCTGAAGACCAACTGGTGGATTCGAACCACAAGAAAGCACATTCTTTAGGTTAATAGCACAGCTCCCTTCAGACTGGGCCACCAGATCTCCCATTTGATGGGATTAGCTCAGTTAATTATACTTTTCTCTGCTTTCCATGTATAACCTCCCTTATATTTGCATTTCAGGCAACAGCTTGGTGGTTTTCCACTCTGGCTACATATTAAAGCCATCTGTGAAGCTCTGGAAAATTCTGCTACCCAGCCACCCTCCCCCAAAGCATTTTAATTTAATTGTTCTGGGGTCTGCAAATCAAATTTTCCAAGTTCCCAGATGA